CGACTACCAACCAGTCATGCAAAAACTAGGTCTTGTCTCTTTAGCCGACAGAAGAGTTGAGGCTAACTTACTCTTTTTACACAAACTAATTGATGGACCTATTGATGCTCCTTCCCTACTCGCACAAGTTGGTTTTAAAGTTCCTTCCCGTCAAACTGGTCATCCGCTCCCTTCGCTATTACTCCACACGCTACCAATTACGGCAGAAACCAACCAATTGACAGGATGATGCGCCTTGGCAATAATGAGCACCCTCACTTGATGATTAGATAACAGTAGGTGTTGTATTATTTATTACTATCATGTACCTAAAAAAATGTAAATGTATTTGTCTTACTGTATATTATATCTTGTGTTTGTATTATTACTATTGTATCCATAAAATTTCTATTTGTCAAGTTGGGTGGGTAACTGTAACACCCACTTAGGTTAAATTTATATATTTTTGTGCATTATATTGGGCTCACTGCCCGTAATAAATAAATAATAATAATAATAATAATAATAATAGTCTATAAGTCACTACGACTGTACGAATTATCAACGAATTTAACGTTATTTTAAATAGTGTAATTTATTTATTGGAATTTTGAGAGAAATATTTGCTGTCAATAATATTAAAAGTCTGCGAGTTAAATTGACTAATTGACTTTTTTTGTCAAGACAAAACGTGTTTACTGTCAATAAATTAGTTTTAGAATTTTAATTATTTGCATTTTAAGTTATAACTATGTTATACATACCAGCTAAGTACCTAATAGTATTTAATTTTAATTGTATTTCCATTATCAGTGTGGCCGGTCGCACTGTCCAGTCCGGACGTCGCACTGTGATATAACACACCTAGTTGTTTTTTTTAGATTAAATTATAACTACTTAAATATTATAAGTGACCAAATTATGTGCAAATAATGTTAATTTAAATGATACTATATTATTTAAATAAAAATTAATACACTCATATAAAGCATATTATTTGATAAAACTTTAAAGAATAAATAGTTTTTTTTATATAATAATATGTACCTGTATAAAATATAAATATTAACAAGGTTAACTTAGTTTTTTTTTTATAAAATCGTTCAAAATATGTTTTATTATTATTACTCTGGCACCAACTATTATTCAAATAACCTCCTATGTACTGTTTGGCAAAAAAAATTGATTAACATAACCTCCTATGTACTGTTTGGCAGAAAAAATTGATTAACATAACCTCCTATGTGATGTAATGTTGACAATTTGTACAATAAATACATATATATTAAGTTTTTTACTTCAATTTTTTTCAGAATAGAAATGTATATTTTATTACGCTTTTTAAATGTATTTTCATTAATCATTAATGATTTGTGATTTTTTAAAACGTTTTTCATAATGGTCAATGGCGCATATATATACTCGATGCAAGTCCATTATAATGTATCTTAAAATATAATAGTCATAATAATAATAATATAGACATCGCCAATAGCCAAGTGCATCATAATAGAACAGGTACCAGGTTAAAGAATGGCGTGATAATTGTTTTTTTTTCTTTCTATATATTTTATCAGGCACATGTGCATGGTCATGAGAGGCGTACAAAAGATAAACAGCAAAACCGTCACGTCTACTGTGCTGGGAGTGTTCAAAGACGACTCGAAGACACGCAAAGAATTTTTGGACCTAGTCCAGTCAAAATGAAATCTACCAAAACAGCATCAACATTGCATTCACAAAACAACAGCTTCAGTGTTATTACACGACAGCGAACCTTTATAATCCCAACGGATTGCTCTTATCATTCGTACATATTATATACATATATATATATATATAATACACGTATTTACATGTATTATTATTTACACTCACTTTTACCTACGTATACACGAGAAAAAAAATTCTACTGGAATATTATGTGTGTGCACTTCTGATTAAAGCACACCATATACATATATATATCTGATATCTAATATTTATAGGTACATAAAAGTCTGGGCATTCAATTTTTTTTTTTTTAAAGTCAGTTAATCTGAATAATATTAACACTTTATGTAACAAACTATACTTTTTCGTTAATAATATTTCCATAGAGTATATTATAGAATGTGACCTATAAGTACCTACCTATGAATGTTTTCATCTTTTTGTCTAGTTAGCACTTAAAAGTGCAAGTTAAATTTGAGAAATCAAGCAGTCATTTGGAACCGTAATATACGTAAATTATCTAAAATATCCAAAATCGGTTTCCTACAAATCATAA